AAGTTAATGGCAACTTGACAGCACTTTCCAACAATATGCCAGTCTTACTGATAATATAAGTTTAATTCCTTTAAGTCATGTGTAGATGTTGGGTTAATAAGAATACATGACTGTGCTCATGAAAGTTCAGTCAACCCTGTCAAAAATAGCAGGTAAGGTAGGATTAACACCAGTCATAGTTTTCCAATATCCTCAAATTAAAAGTGTCATTTTGACCCTACAAAACAAATCTATTTCATCTCTTAAATAAATGGGAATGTATTATATTCAGATGATTTGGAGAGAAAGGACTGGTTGCCAAAATACATGTGCTCATAGCATACTTAAGTGGAGGAAATCATTATATGAGTTGGTGGGGAAGGGAAAACTGATTATATAACTAGGTGGGAAACTGATTTAAAGAGGATGATTCTGGATAATATTTGGCTTCAGTTACACACATATATTCAAAAATGTTCATTATATATAGGAATAAGAAAATTCTATTATGACTGTACCCCACAAAAACTGGTAAAAGGGCATTGATTTCTTCAGTTTGCTGGAGATGCAAAAATCACATTGTATGTTTGTCCATATTTAGTGATTTTGTCTAAATATTCAGATATTTTGATAAGGGAAATGTCAGTTTAGAGTGGAAATTACTCACAATAAAATCCCAATTAATCCAGCTACAGATCTCTTAGGATATCTTAATAAGTGTTAGAAAAAGTAAGGAGCTTATAAGAAATCTGCTTAACGGCAGCAAATCTTTTTGCAGCATAATATTAGATGCAGGAGAAATGACCAGATATGGAGGTATGGCTTCATAAATTATAGCAAATTGTGTATATGGAAAGAAATGGTTTATAGACAAATTTGGGATGGTAAACAATTTGTACAAGATCCTTTTGTCTGGAAATGGTATCTCTCCTATATAATAATTCTATTTTCAAGTGGCAACATTCCATGCCTTCCCTCAGCCATTGGCCTGTCAGGCACCACTCAAGAGTACTCACGTGCCATTGGCCGGGTTCTGGGTCTGCTCCTCTTCCCCGCCCACTCCCACTTCAGCCACTGTGCCCTGTCAGAATTACTGGCAAACGGCTTTCTCTCTTGATGAAGACGCTTCTCCTGCTTGCCTCCTGTGTGGGACTAACTCTTCCCTCAGTGGCTGTTGGTAGGTGTAACGAAATGGCAGTTACCTGTGTTTGTAAGATGGCTGCCATCTGTGGTTAGTTGTTTAAAATGTTCCCCATAAGGTTTAATTGAGCTGTAGTTCCAGAGAGGGCCTGCAGGGTTATCACTCACTGGGTTGAATGGGGGTTCCTCATCTGCTGGCCTACAGTTCTGAAAAATACTGGGTCCGATACGCGATTAGTGATCAGCTCATGCTTTATTGGATTAGTCTAAAGAGTCGGACTCGACTGTGCGACTGAACAACAACAAGACAAACAAGCAGGACCGAAGCCCTGCTTAAATCTGGATACAACACCCCCCCACACACACACACACTACCCGTGATAGGTTATTTACAGTGCAGCTCCTGGTCAATAGGTTCCATCCAGGATCCTAGCTAACTATTGTTCTTGGTCTCAAGCTAGGCTAGTCAATGCCGGGCCCAGGACATAACAAGTTCCCAGCTGCCCCAAGGCCAAAAAGGGTGGGAAAAGAGGGACTGTCCCAAGTGGCAGGGCAGCATCAATATAGTCTCCAGCTAGGGCTGCCAAGCCGCGGCGGGGGATCCGCACATCTTCACAGGATCCCTGCCGCGGGGGACAGCGATACGCGTTGCACCGCTGTCGTCAGGATGTGACACTACGCGTCGCTCTGGCAACGGGGATGTTTGGAGTCCCGTTGCCAGAGTGATGCATAGCGTCACATCCTGGCGACGGCGGTGCAGCGCGTATCGCTGTCCCCCGACAAAGGAAGGAAACCCTTCGCAGGCCTTTGTGAGGAACTCATTGCAGCCAGTCCTAACTAGGGTTGCCAGCTCCAGGTAGGGAGATTCCTGGAGATTTTCTCGTAGAGTCTATGGTACTTCCTCCGGGGGGGGGGGAGAGATCTGCTGTCTGGAGTTCAGTTGTGATACCTGGCAATCTTCAGGCTCCTCCTGAAGGTTAGCTACACTAGGCGTAGTAGTCAGTGCTTCAGAGCAGGGTCTGCTAGATCCAGGTTCTTGCTGTAGAAGCTGAGTGGGTGATTTTGGACCAGTCACAGACTTTCAGCCTAACCTACCTCACAGTGTTGTTGTGTAAGTCAAACGGGGGAGAGGAGAATGATGTCAGCTGCTTTGGTCCCCATTGCAGAGAAAGAACTATTTTTCCTCCTGGATAGAGGCTGCAGTTGGGGGGGGGAGATGGAAAGCTGAAGAGTGAGGGGGAAATAAAGGTAGGTTGATGATTGGCTGGGAGGGAGATAGGGTTGCCAACTCCAGGTGGGAAATTCCTGGAGATTTGAGGGATGGAACCTGGAGAGGGTGAAGTTTGAGGAGGGATGGGACCTCAGACAGGTACAATGCCATAGACTCCACCCTCCTAACCTGCCATTCCCTCCTGGGGAACCACTGTTGCCAATCTCCAGGTGAAGGGTGGAGATCGCTCAGAGTTACAACTGATCTCCAGGAGGGAGGGGGGAAGAGATGGAAAGCTGAAATCAGAGGGGCAGATAATAGCAGGTTGATGCTTGGCTGGGAAGGAGATAGGCTTGCCAACTCCAGGTTGGGAAATTCCTGGAGATTTGAGGGGTGGAGCCTGGAGAGGGTGAGGTTTGAGGAGGGGTGGGACCTCAGACAGATACAATGCCATAGACTCCACCCTCCAAACCAGACATTTTCTCCTGGGGAACCATTGTTGCCAATCTCCAGATCATTCAGAAATACAACTGATCTCCAGGAGGGAGGGCAGGTCAGCTGCAGTTAGAAGGGCAGATAATGTTAGGTTGATAGTTAGCTGGGAAGGGGATGGGGTTGCCAACTCCAGGTTGGAAAATTCCTGGGGATTTCAGCGCTGGAGCCTGGAGAGGGTGGGGTTTGAGGAGGTCGCCACAGCAAATTGACGCTGAGTGCCCAAGGCCTTGGCACTCTCTCAGAGCCTCTTTCTAGAGCTTGTTGTATTTATTTCCACAACGAGCCTTATTCCTAGTCTATTTATATTGTGACTTGATGGCACTTAACTCACACCCAAAACTAAGGTCCCGGTCACACAAGTGGGAAAATCCGCTGGGGAAGGGAGGCATATTAGATGCGGAGCTAAAAGAAGCACGGGAGCGTGATCTTACGCTCCCCCGCGGCTCCGTTCTCCCTCCGTCGGCACCCTGTCACACTGGGGAGGCAACGGCGTAGTCCCAGCAAGGCAACACGGCAGTCTCGCATTAGTGCGCATGCACGGGTCGCAAATGGCTGCAGGATGCTACAGGCTGCCGGTTTGTCCGCTATCCCATGCCCGCCGTTGCTGCGGATCTTCCGGTAGGTACTCCATTTTCCCTAGTACCTTTTCGATCCGCATTTTCAACCAGATGCGATGGGTTAGGGGGGGATGCGTGACGCTTGCCAGATGTTGGCGTCTGATTGCGCCAGTTTGATCCGCCCTTAGTCTGTCCCCTCCGCATACCTAATTCTCCATGTGACCGGGGCCTAAATCTGATGAATGTGTACACAAGAAAGAAATTTTGTAGTATATTTAGCTATGTTATGGAATAGGATTATTAGGAAGAATTATAAAATATTATATGATATTATGACCAAAATCCAATAGTAGCTGTGGCTAATTTTGACTCAGAAAGAACTTTAGGTAAAGCAGCTCAATGCTGTAAAAAGGCTTCTTGCTACTGCTTGTGCTGAACCAGCAGGTTTGCTGCCAAGTGTGACCTGTCTTCTCTTCTCTGGATTACATTACTTCAAATTTAGTTATATTGGGGTAACTCAAAATATACTTGAGTCAGATTGTAACATGAAAAAGAACAGTTTGCCCAGGGCTTGATAAAACATAGGTGCCAGTTTGCCCTGGGGTAGATATTTCCATAATTTTGGTACCAAGAAAGATCTGCTCTCTCTTAGTAAAAGTACTCACAAAATCGCAGCCAGAGGCTGGACACAAGAAACAAGGTGGCTAGTACCAGCTACTTTAGAGAGATGGAAGGCAGTTGGTCTGTCTTTTGTGGAACACCCCTGCCAGCATAGTGTGATATGATATGGAAGTTCTTAAAACCTTACTGAAATCTGTGGAAGTTAAGAGATTGTGTATACTTTGAAGATTAGGTTTCCCTTGCTTGAAAGCCAGTTGAATCCGACTCTAGGGGGCGGTGCTCATCTCCGTTTCCAAGCTGAAGAGCCAGTGTTGTCTGAAGATGTTTCTGTGATCATATGGCCAGCATAACCAAATGCCAAGGCGCACAGAACGCTGTTACCTCCCCACTGAAGCGGTACCTGTTTATCTACTTGCAATTTCTTGCTTCTGAACTGCTAGGTTCAGAGTCAGAGACGGGAGCTCACTCTGTCACGCGTCACTAGGGTCTTGAACTGCTAAATGGTCTGCAACTCAGTATCTTAACCTCTGAGCCACCGCAGCCCCGCTTTGAAGATTACTTGTTTGTAATTCACTTGTAATGAGCACTGTTATTGGTGGAATGGTGTACAGGTCCTTGAAAATAGTGTCACTGAAAATCAAAATCATATATGCACACAGGAAGGATTGTTTGCTGACCTTGTCCAGGTGTAGATCCTGCTCCCCTGTTCAGCCTGAACAGGCATCTCCCTTCTTCCCAAGGTAACTTATTTATTGGAATGGACTGTAAAGTGCAGGATTTGGAGCTATTTGGTTGCTGGCCTGGCCTCCACTGGTGGGGACCCACAAGCAGTTATATCTCTTGTCTTCCCCCCTCCTCAGGTCTTTGCAATATAGCAGCCCAGCTTCCAGTTGCCCAAGCTTGCTTCAGTAAGCAGTATTATACTAGTGTAGAATAAAGTGTAACTATGGACTATCTTTAGTGCAACTGAGAAGTCAATTTTGATTTGCTTTTTAAAGGTCTGCTGAAACATGAAACCATTCCTGAAGTTGGAGAGGATGCCGCTGCTACTGTTACAGAAGCTCTGTCTGAAGAAGAACAGGATGAACTGAGAAGAGAGCTTGCTAAGGTGAACACTGGATGAAACTCTGACCTCCTCTGTGTGGGGTCCACAAAATGAATCTGGTACACAGACCACAGTATTTAACATGGATTTGAAGCTGCTGTTAAACATGGCGGTGGTCTTCCCCTACCCACCCACCCCTGGTTTTTAAAATTGGGTCCAGGAGAATGGCTGTTAAACTTAACATT